GTGTGTCTGTGCAGGCCGTGAGATGAATGATAGAGCCGTTCTGGTATTCTGCTAAACTCAGTCATTCCCGAACCACACGTGGACTATCACTTTCCTCACAGAAAACAGATGAGAAATTTTAGCTCCTTCGAAGACAGCTCTACTGTCATTGACCTGTTTTTCTTTTCATTGTTGGAAGGCGTCAGAATCTCGATAACATCGTCAAAGTGGCCACTTCCCTTCAGAGAGGCGACAAGGGGTGAGATCTCAGAGCTTTTGAGCTTGATTTTTCCTTCTCTTGGTGTATCAAAAATGCTTAACCAGTACCTTTAAAAGTTCCAAATGTGAACAAAATCCCAGTGCTGTTTACCAGATATAATTTAAAAGAGGAAAGCATCAATGTGGCTACGTAAGTGCCCCTGAATAATGGATGGAGAGGACATTTATGGACTCTCTTCCTCTGTGGCTTCTTCTGGTGAATTTACTCATCCCATTGACCTCAGCTGTCAAACCTTCTTCCCAAACTCCGGTCTTGTGTTTACATTGCTGGCCCAGATCTTTACTTATCTGTCTCCCCAGAATTTCTACTTAGGATGTCCTAGGCCATGTTCAACTTCCTTCCCAACGTGCTATTTTCTGACGTCTCCTCTGTTCTTTCCTCCCTGCAGGCTCACCTTTCTGGAATCATTCTTAACTCTTCCATCTCTTTCCCCCTCTATATAGTATCAGGCATGTATGGATTAAACATCTAAAATACCCCTCGTGCCTACATGTTCTTACCCCAGTTCAAACCCTCGGTGACTCTAGCACAGGTTATTAGAGTAGCTCTCCAGATTTACTTATACTTCTGCAGTCTCTCCTCTCACTAACCTATTATTACCCATCAATGCCAGAGTTTGTTTGTTTTTTTCCCAAAGATTCTGCTCAAGCAATCACTGATCACTGCTCTGGCTCCCCATTTTGACCATTCAATGGCATATAACCCAATTCAAAGCCCTTGCTAACCTGGCTCCAGCCTAATGTTCCAGAGTTATTTCTGACTTCACCCTTATATTTATCCAGCATTTAATACCAGATTAGACCACTTCTTTTCTATAGTTTCCAGACACTCTGCCTTTGTTTATGCCTTTCCATCCAGATGGCAGCCAGCTTTTTCCAGCCTCCAGGCCACTATATCAATCTATCCAAGTCCCACCCATTTTTCAAGATGCAGATCAAATATCACTTCCTCTGTGAAGTCTTTCCTGAGTGATCTAGTGAGATGTGATTTCTGCCTCTCTAAGCTATTGGATCCCCACTACCCGTATTTTATGACACTTACTCATATTTGGATTTGTTTCCTGTTATGTGTATAAATGTGTCATCTCCTCTGTCATCTCAATAATCTCTCAGGGCATATGTGAGGTTACTTCAAAAAGTTCATAGAAAAATCGTATTAAAAGATAATATGAATCTTTCTGTGAACTTTTTAAAGTACCTTCATATTTTTTCTTATTTACCATATGTCATTTGCAGTGTCCGACATGATGCTTTGTACATAATAGGTGTTTATATAGTAGATTATGGTAAATAATGATGAGCAGTGAGAAAAACTTGACTATAAATATTTAATTATTTAAAGTTCCAAGCCCACAAAGGTTCTCCTGGTTTAATGGAATTTAGTAATGCTAAGAATGCTACCGGAGATTGCAATCCCAGGCAAAAGAACCGAGGAAAAGAAACAGAAGTGATGCTTTGCTTTTCCGTGCAAATTCATAAACAAAACAAGACCTCCAAATCCAGATGCAGAAAGTATCCGGGATGCCCGTTTCCATTTCTTCTCTCATCTAAGGGTCTAGATCTCTAATGTTATTGATTTATTTTTGTTTGAGGTAGTATTTTGTTTTCCACAGGGATTGGACAGGTTTTTGGTGAATGATGGGGATGTTTGAGGGAGAGAGAAGTGAGTAATGCTGAAGGGCAATTACGGTTTGGCGTAAATCAAACAGAGACAAGGAGAGTGGCAGTTAGTGTAGCTCTCCTGTCCCCGCTCTCTGGCCACATGCACCGCCTTCACAGCCAGATGCATTAATCACAGAGAGAAGCTGCTGCTTTGACAGGGACCAGGGAAAATGTCTGTTGTGACACAGTCATTGCACAGTATTGTTCCTGTGGGCCACCCATGGGGACTAGAAACAGCTCTATTTATCCGAGCCGCTCTTTGTGAAAAGGAGTGTTACTGCTATCTGATTAAGAGCATTTGATTTGTTGCAAATGCAATGGTGAAACTTAATATTCAAAACTCTCACTAATTATTAAATTCACTTTAGAAGTTCAAGTTCTTTACTCAGAATGCTGTCTCCATTTCATTCGATTTGCCACAGAAGGCCTTCTCATGATTTATGCTAATTTCCTTGTGATAAACATGAGCAACCCCAGATCCTGGTCATCTCATCATTGTGACTCATGCCAGTCAAGAAGGACTGGGGCTAAAATTTATGGGATTCTTAGGTTTGCTCTTTGCCTCAGGGACACAAACAGATTTGTAGCCTGAGTTGGAGGTAGAATTTCAAGCAAGAAACACTAATGGACACTGTGTCAGGGGACTGGGTACTGTTTGTCCCACACAAGGACAGAGCATTAATCAATTTTTTTGTCAGTGGCAGCAACTTTTGTATCTCAGCATTTATTCTCAGCCTTCAATCCTACCATGGAGTATGTGAAATTACTTGAAAGGATTCATCTATGGGATGATGGTTAACTTGACATATTTTTAGGGTCTCTAAGAGGACTGCCCTTAGCAGCTGTTCGGGCATCTTCAAAGCACACAGTGACCCAGCAACTATACCTCTCTAAGGCTAAACCAAAGTCTTAGCGTCCCTAAATGCAGTTTAAAAAATAAGTATAGCAAGCATTTATTAAATGAAAAACTTAGCAGTGACAGTGCACTTTTTATTATAATGGCCAAAATTAATTGAGAATTTATGGTTTGCCAGGCATCACACTAAGCACTTTGTACTCACTAGCTTATCAATTCTTTTCTAGGTGGGTATGATTAGTGTTCTCATTTTACAGTTGGGGAGATTGAGTCAACAGGAGGGTTAAGTAACTCACCCAGGGTCACCAACAAATAACTGGTGAACCCGAACTGGAATCCAGGTGTCCTTGTCCTTGTGTAACTACTGAGTTATGAGGTCTTACAGCCTCCTGGTCAGCACCAGAGATGACTCAGAAAGAAAGAGGAACCTTGAAAAAGCTTGAGAAACTTGGGATTCTAGAGCAGAAAGAAGGGAAAATCAAGATTTGTGAATAGAAAACCTGGATAAGGAAGGCAAGAAACATGCGAATGGGGTGGGGGCAGATGGACCCAAAAGTTGGGGAGAGGACATGCTGCTAGAAGGAAACAGGTGGAAGACACCAAGAGCACTCTTGGGAAATGCTCCCACTCCCCAGGCTGCCTGCTTGGGGAAGAGAGCTGAGCCCATGTGGTTTAAGGGTAATTCCCAAATCCAGGAGTTTAGCTTAAATGAGGTGCTCCTGAAAAAATAGTCTCAAAAGACTTTTTGCATTTCTCATGTATGGAAACAGGCTAGCAAATTTAGCTACCCTGGAATGAAGTAGAAGTAGAATTCAAAATAGAAGCCAGACTTAGGGATGAACAAGTATTTTCCAGTCACTACTTGGTGCAATTGCATCGTGCAAAGACAGAAGCTATAATTAGTCAATGTACCTATACTTATTGATTCAATTAAAATGTATTAAGCATTTACTGTGTGAAAGACTGAAAAGGGTCTAATTTAGAATACAGTTCTAATTTTTTTTGTGGTTTGCATGTTTGCGTATGTGTGTGTACAGAGGCAGGGGCATTAATACATGACAAGTGTGCAATTGCTACACAGTGGTACAACGTACAGTAATATAAGTGCCATAAGGAGATGCAAAAACCCAGATTGCTTAAAGGGCTCCAAAGATGTAAGGGAGAGGCAGGGGCATTAATACATGACAAGTGTGCAATTGCTACACAGTGGTACAACGTACAGTAACATAAGTGCCATAAGGAGATGCAAAAACCCAGATTGCTTAAAGGGCTCCAAAGATGTAAGGGAGTCTATTCAGTTAGAAAACAAGGAAAGGTTTCTTGGAGAAAGTGGTGTTTGAAGAGAACCTTGAAGAATGAACGGGATTTTCACAGATGATAAACATGGGACGTGTGTTCTGTTTCAGAGATCAGAGTTATTTTAAGGGGAATCTGCTCTTTGACTCCAGGTAGGCTTTTACTAATGTGAGATTTTGTTTTTCCTTTCCAAAAGTGAAGAAATGGATAATCTCATCAAAATGAACAAAAGCTTGAATAGGTAAGATTTTAAAATGTCTTTTTTCTTTATTACTGAATAACATATTGTGACTTCTTATGTCTCTTCAGTCTTTGAGCATGAAGACCCACATACCAGGCTAGCCAAAAATTTCCTACAAATCTTGTATAAAAAGCTTGCAGAAATCATCATCATTTCATCATTACTATGAGTGGTTATTAAAATCTAAAAACACTAATATTAAAGCATCTTTGATTTCCATACTCCATTTGTTTATTGAAGTGGTTTTATAAATAACTACCTTTCTCTTCCTGAAATATTTATATACCAGTATGTAAACAGAGTTCAGTTTGATCACTAAATACATTTAAACTACAAAAATCACTTATTACCTTAATTATTATCATCTCTTTATTTTGAATAGTTTTTAATTGCATAACTTAAAATATGATTAGAGGAAAAATGAATAATTGAAGCTTGTGTTAGAGGTGTGTGCAACTTTAGTTATCTCTCTGTTACTTTGCATACTAACCTAGTGTATGGGCAGGGTCCAAAGAAAAGGAGAAAACAAAGCAAATGTCAAAAGAATTTATTGATCTGGGGATCACAAGACGTGGTTTTTATATCTTGTTCTGACAATAATGACCTGTATGATTGTCTACCAATAAATCACTTAAATTTACTGCTTTTCATTTCTCATTTACAAAGAGAAGAGGTTTTAGATCAGGAGTCATAGACTCCACAGCTACTAAAGGCAGGAGGTGTACATGAGGGAAGGGGGCTGGCTGTATGAATTGTAGGTGGTGGGGGGACTGGGGCAAAAAGGAGAGAGAATGCCTAGTCTAAAGCATCTGGCTGCTTCTCAGCTCCAACTGAGGGTCACCATGTGGGAATTTGAGCCCAGTGTTGCAGGACATTTTCAGGACATCCTGAAAATCCAGGTTTCTATATGTCATTTCTATATGTCATGGCCATCTTTGTAACACTGGCTCACATCAAATGCTGTCATCTCAAAGAAATGATAAATTTTTGCAGTGACAAATATGCTAATTACCTTGATTTGATCATCACACATTGTGTACATGTATTGAAATATATGCCATAAATATGTACAACCAATACGTATCAATTAAAAATAAATACACTTTGAAATAAATAAATAAAAACACCCCGTGAATCCAAACAGCACATCTATGAACCTATTATGGCCTTGAAGATCCCCACTTCGTCTCAAAGAAATGATAAATTTTTGCAGTGACAAATATGCTAATTACCTTGATTTGATCATCATACATTGTGTACATGTATTGAAATATATGCCATAAATATGTACGACCAATACGTGTCAATTAAAAATAAATACACTTTGAAATAAATAAATAAAAACACCCTGTGAACCCAAAGAGCAAATCTATGAGCCTATTATGGCCTTGAAGATCCCCACTTCATATCTTTTATTTTCTCTAAGGTCCACTGCAATTTAAATTTTGAGTCTGTGAAAATACCTTTTGGAACAAAGCAATTTCAAGAATTGTGGCTCATCTTTCTCAACCAGCTTCTGTTTCCTGTCTTAGATGTAAACTGGTCTCTGTTTTTATAGAGTTAAGCATCCATTATTACCACTGATAAGGTTTTTAATCTATCCATTTAAAGACATCAAGGTCTTGATGGTCTCTTCAGGACAAATCCAAAGGCAGAGCAAACGGAGAAAAGGTGAGTGCATCTGTCTCTAATCTGAAAATCTTATCTCCAGGATCACCTGGTTTATTCCTTGAGACATAAGCTGTAAAGGGAGTTGTATCCTCTGGCATGGAAACGTGCTGGCAGATGGGGTAGGGCTCTCAGCATTGTACATTTGGTTCAGACGTAATTGCCCAGAAGGATTTCTGCATTCAGTAAGAGAAAATGAGCAATTCATGGAGAATGGTTATTGTATCTGAACTTTCAAGATACCACACAATTTCATTTCAATATACTTCTTTTATTTGAATTTCTTTGTGTTTACAGAGCCAAAAGCCTTGAAAGTCTCATCTATGTGAATGCCCGGACAGACAAAGATGGCAAAAGGTAGGATTTGATTAAGACAGGCCACTTTGATTGATCCTAGACTGTATACTGTTTTCTGGGGTAGACCTCCTGCTCAGGGCAAGGGTCAGGCAGGCTGATAGAACAGGCCCCCAATCTGGGTCAGCAGATGGTGGGTGTCTTGACGCTGGCTCTGCCACCAACATCAATCTGGGTGACCTTGGGCAAGTTGCTTAACCTCTGGAGACCTCTGTTATCTTATCCCATAAAATAAAGGGTATGATCTAGAGGACCTTCAAGTTCCTTTTGATATCTAAAAATGAAAGAAGTCCAACTGGCTGTTATAAGTAGTGGACAATAGGCTGGTTTATTAACTAAATATATTTATTGCAAGACATTTTGGTGCTGGGAGCCTAGTCCATCACCACTAAAGTCTTTAAAATGTAGTGAGGCACTTTTCAGTTGGGATTTTGGTTGTCACTTCACATGTATATCTCTTCATATGTATTTGTAAATATCTTAAAGTAAAAAAACCATGCTTTTATTTATTTTATGTCATAAATGGGTTAACTAACAATTAGTAACTGACATCATTTGAGAGGTTAACTTACAGTTTTTGATGGATACTGATATGCTAGAAAGTTGACTTATTTTTCATGTGGAAAGAAACCAAGCTCTCGACAGTTTCATTAAAGAAAATCTCAGAACAGTAAAGAATGACAGAGGGTAACAGTTTATGGGATTTCTACTACTTTTTCCCTGAGATTGTCTGTTTACTTTGTATTTGGTTAGTCACTAAATTTGCCTTCCTAAAGTGATAATTATTTCCATCATCACAGTTATTTTTAAAAACCATTTATCTATGCCAATCTGTGCACAGAATGGTATTCTAGCTTTCCAAGTCAAACTTGGCAGACGCATCCTCAACCTTTCTGATGTAGAACACTTAACAAAGTCCATATAGGAAAAGTGTTGGCAATAACCATCACACAGACCTTAAATGCTTATTAACAGCATATTATTATAATGTAAACATGGCAACATATTACAAGTGATTTTTTTTCAAATGGGAAATAGATGAAGGTAGAAAACAGTCAATTTTATGTTAGTGGTTATTAGAGCTTTACAGCAAAAGATGAGATTTCAGATCTTAAAAAAATGGAGTTTGGAGAGTTCCACAAAAGTGGGGAAAATAAGAAAAGTGGATGAGTATCACAAGTAGATCATTTTGTGAATGAGGGAGAAGAAGAAAAGAGAAGTGACATGTTACTTCTTGGATAACTTGATAGCAACTAGGCCTTCGTGCAGGAATAACTGATCTTATTGGTGTGTTAGGAGAAGAGCCCTAGTTCCTCTTCCTTCTTTCCTCTCTCCCTTCTTTCTTATATTGAAAGTCTCTTCTAATAAAAAGTGTCTGGAATTCTGCTGAGGAAAAAAAAAAAACAAATAATGGTAAGTGTTGGGGAGGGTGTGGGTAAATTGAAATCCTTATACACTGATAGTGGAATTGTAAAATGCTGCAGCACCTTGGGAAAGCAGCCTGACAGTTCCTCAGAAGGTTAAACATGGAGTTACCATATGACCCAGCAATTCCATTCTTAAATATATACCCAAGAGAAATGAAAACACGTGTCCACACAAAAACTTGTACATGAATGTTAGTAGCAGCATTATTCATAATAGCCAAAAAATGAAAATAGCCCAAATGACCATCCACTAGACAAATAATGGATAAACAGAATCTGGTCTGTCCATACAATGGGATATTATTCAGTAATAAAAAGGAATGAAATAGTGACACATGCTACAGCCTGGATGAAACTGGAAACACCATGCTCAGCGAAAGAAGTGACACAGGCGCTCTCCTTGAGCAAACTTCAGTCAGCCTCCTCCAAGCCCTTTTCTATACTAGGCTTCATCCTTGGGCCTTGTTCTCAGCCTTGCATAGCACAGTTTTAGCAAGAATCCTGTCAGTTTAGCAGAATCCCCCATCCCCAAATCTGATCACCCTCAATATCTGACCAAATTCCTCATCCTCCATTGTTCCCCAGGTGATGCCTGATAGCCCTCGCCTGCCTTCAGCAGGAATCCTGTGAGATCAGTTTAGCAAGAATAACCCCTACCTTGATGTCTCCTCTTAGTAATTTTCCACCCACCTATCTCCCTAACCATGCCCCTTGGCTATAAGCCTTCACTTATTTCTGTTGTATTTGGTATTAAGCCCAGTCTATAATGAGGTCTCTTTTTCTCTATTGCTATAATTCCTGAATAAAATCTCTTTTAAAAGTTAATAAATACATAAATAAATAAATACACCTTTGAACTTTTTAGAGGAAATGACTTGTCTAAATCCTCAAAGTATTTAGATTAAAATGTTAATCAATTGATTTCCACCCCTGATGTGAATGAGTTTCACGCTAAAATAAGACAGTATCTCAACATATGTTTTAAAGTCAGCATCCCACCTACCCTCCCTCAGGAAAACAAAACCTGGGACCTGGTGGGAAGTTTTACTTCTAAGTTGATTCTATCATAACTGAGTAATGGTTGGGATCTTCATAGTCAGGATGTCTCTTAAGCATTTTCAGTATAAGTAGAGCCACTGGAATTACATATTTCTAAGGACTTTTGATCCTTTAGGCACTGATTATGCCTTACTACGTTTGGGGGAAATCTGCTATTTTCATAAGAGATTCTGAATATATCACTGAATTGTTCTTTCTTTCTCTCTCTCTCTCTCTCTCTCTCTCTCTCTCTCGCTTTATCTT